AGGAGATAAAAAAAGAAAAGACAAGAGAAGAAATAAATAAAGAAATAAAAAAGTCAAGTCCTACTACAATAAGGCAAACAGCTATTTTGAAACGTTTGTACACAGTAGAATGGTCCTAGGGCATCTTAGGAAGCCACGCGGCGCGCAAGACGAAGCAGTTGCGGCTTTGCGGTAGAACGATTAAGAAACACGCTGAATGATTTATCAAACATATCAAGCATCTCGTCTTCTTACATTCCTGATAATCCTATTCATCCTCTTTCCTTCCTATAGCTTGAACTAAGCTGTAATACGCGAACGGTCAGGAAAAGAGGTCATTGTCCACATATAATTATTATGTCGTAAAGATACCTCACTATCTCACATTCGCTGGATCGTGTAACTCAGTTTCGATAAGCTCGATTGACGGGACTTAAAAAAATCAAAATAAGAAACCATTGCCAAGTTAAGGCTTCTTATAAATCTACTGTTACAATAACAAAGGGGATTGTGTGAAACAATAGCGCCAATTGTCTTGTATATGACGTCAAAACGGCGCCAAATTTTCTCCCAGCTGACCTCTTGATGAAAAGCTACTGGTAGAAATGATAGGCAAGACGAGAGCGTCGATTTTTTATTGGTTTTGAGCTTGTTAACCTTTACAGTATACCCGACCTTGATGAAAACGGCGCAAACCAGCCTCGCTTACTCATCGTTATATTTAGAATATGATGTTCATGGGAGATGTTTATCGTTTTAGAACGGGGAGATTACCATCGCTGTGGCTTCTAGTTCAGAGATTATACCCGACCAGGGTGCATAAGATTGATTTTATCCGAGGTTTTTCCCCTCAGTAAAGTCAAGGTTACAAAAGACTGTTGGTCTTAATCGCAATGAATCTTTACTCGTCATAATCCTGCTTCGCGGAGAAAACTAGAGCAAGAGAAAATTCTCTTGACTAGAGTTATTCTTCACAGGCCATGCACATGGAAGCTGCGCACTCCGGAATTGAATAAACGCATTTCCAATTATGGTCAGTGTTGTAAGATCCTATATCCTTGTTACTGGCCGATATTAACATGACAAATAAAAGGTTAAAAGGTTCGACTTCAAATCTGTTTTTACTTGCTTATATTGGAAGTTCTGACTGAACATGTTCTGATTGATCCTTTGGCAACGCTAAGGGGAACATAGCTCTTAAAACTCATCTCGTTCAGAGGACTATTCTCGATCCATAAAAGGATGTTCAATTAGTAATAGACGTCTATTTATTTCGAAGCCTAAGATTTGAAGTGGTTTTGGAGAGTATTAGCTGTAAGCTTCAATAATACATGCCCCATACTCTTTCACAGCCCTATTTCCTATGGATTATATTAATACCATCTTATAAAGCAACATTTAGCGATGCCATCCAACGCGTCTGTCTATCTTTTAAGATAATGCAACTCTCTAAAAACGGTCTTAGTTTTTGAACAGCCAAGGTGGCGAAAAAAATGTGCTGATTAAGGCCACATTTAAAATAGGTCTGCTGCGAGCTCACAGTGGTCAAGCAAAATCAAATGTTTCAAGTTTACTGAAACAATATTTATAGAGCTATTAAAAAAGTCATTTACAGACGTTTCGTATACTTTAACAAACATGTTATTTTCCTTTGCTAGACAAGCATAAAGCGATCAGTTTGCTTAATGGCGAAGGTTACACGAAAACCAGGAAGTGAAGAGAGACACTTCAAAATCCTTACGATAACGGCTATAGCAGGAGATAGCGCCAGCTAGCGCCCACATCCGTTTCTCCCGCTGTATATTACTGTTTCCGATGGCTATCTTGGCAAGGGTAATGATCACTAGTTGCTATAGCGTGCACGACAACGAATCCCCTGGATAAAATGTCCCCGTCTTTTTTTTTCCGCATTCAACATTTTACATGTATTTGCCAAGTTTTCAATAAACAGCGTGCTACGAAGCGTTGGTCTGAAATATTCAGTGGGCCCCAGCGAAGAAAGAAAGAGGGCTATGGAAAGGCATCGAGATAATAAAAAAATGAATGAATGGATAAATGAAAAGGTTATGGTTACTAAATTCAAGCTAGTATTCGGTTTATCTTTAAAGTAAAATCAGGAGTAAAACTACAGAACGACCACGTGCATAGCACAGCAATATAGTGTGAGAGCAAGCAGAGAAAAGCAGAGGTCCTATATAAGCTGGCTACTGTCGCGTGTTACCCTCTCTAAATATAGACGATTATTATTGAAGATTTATTAGAGCAGAGCAAAATGGCATGGAATCAAGAGGGTACACTCTTGGATGGTGGATTATAGAACAAAACTTTAGCAAAAAATAATAAAAAAATATCTTTCCCGCAAATTGTTTTTCAATTTTTAAAAAACCTTCGGCCCGGGGGGTACTCTTGCCCGTTTAGGGTAGGATGTGCCGCTAAGCCCTCTGAACCCTGACCCCGTTCCAGAGTAAAATCGCTGAAAACCATACCCTGTTCCAGAGTAAATATCGTAAAGGTAAATCTGATTTGCTGAATGATAATTTATTGTATATGAAAAAAACCTGTTCCGGTATTACGAAAATAGATACCCTGTTCCAGAGAGGAGAGAGCGTGATTTCATATACCCTATTCCAGAGCGAGCGCGATTTTATATACCCTGTTCCAGAGTAGCAACGCTGAAAACCATACCCTGTTTGGCGGCACGTACCCGTATAGCGAATATAGGGGGGGTACCCCCACCCGGGACCTTTTGGGAACTTTAAAAAAATGCAAGACATGTATAACCAAGTTCTTTTGACATTTCAGCACAAGAAGGTCGTTGTGCGCTGTCGGAAGTAGTGGATATTATAATATGAATTTTTTGTTGGAAAGGAATGTCCGCCAGATAGTAGTTGAGTGTCATGTCTCCACTTCAGAGTGCCAGAAAGTTGTTTGGGGAAGTTCAAGGGGGTAGGAAAAGTTTTCAATGCAAAAATATTTGGTTCAGGGTCTGGGGGAGTAAAAAATATTTGTCTAATATGAAAGGAAAGGTTGGGGGGTAGGAGGTTGCCTGCACGTTAAGACCTTTAATTCCCTCCCCCCCTCCCCCCCTCCCCCC